TTACTGCACTTTGTACATTGCTCAGTGCATGATGAAATAAAGTGAACATGAAATAAAGTATTTGCTAAGAAATGCTTTTGTTAGATCTCTCCTGTGCGTTCAGCAGGTGCTCTTGGGCCCTTAAAAGAAACCTGAGGAAATAAATAGACTGCCATGGCTGACCTCCTGCTGCCTGTACTGAGTGTGTAACTCAGACCCAGAATAAGCATGCAGATCAGGAATTCAACTTCACTTTGCGTGTTCACACCATGTCCATTGAACTGCGATTTTCTGCACACCAGCGTACATGTATGGTATGACCAGGGCACATAGATAACAATTGTTTTGCATGTGCCCTATTCATACCATTCGTGTGTGGTGTGCAGAAAAATGCAGATCAATGGACATGGCAGGAACAAGCCCTATAGGAGAAGTGCAGGTAGAGTATTTATTTTATTTATATAGCGCTGACAATTTACGCAGCGCTTAACATACTGCACATTCACATTAGTCCCTGCCCTCAAGGAGCCTACAATCTCATGTCTCTGTCTCACATGCATACATACTGGGCCAATTTAGACGGGAGCCAATTAACCTACCAGCATGTCTTTAGAGTGTGGGGGGAAACGAGTACCCAGAGGAAACCCATGCAAGCATAGGAGAACATGCAAACTCCTTGCAGATGGTGTCCTGGCCAGTCTTTTGAGCCAAGGACCCTTAATGCTACAAGGCAGAAGCGCTAACCGCTACGTCACTGTGCTGCCCACAGTAAAACATAAACCCGCTATCTCCACACTTTGGATCATAAAAGTGCATTAGTAAGTGTACTCCTGTGACCCAAAAAAGTAGTAAGTAAATAAAAGGTTCTGCTTGACTTCTTTTTTTACGTGCTGTGTGTTTGTTTCCAGGTAAGTAACTCAAAGCACTGAATGCAGTAATGGCCAGGAAACTAGTATTTCCAGAAGAAAGTCGGCAATGAGAGTCCTCATATTTCTCTCATAAAATCGTTCTGTAAAGACAGTGGAAGTTCTACCTCACTGGGTGGCTCAGTGGTGCTTATCAGGCAGTCGGCAGCAATGCACATTGTGTAACGGGTGTAGTGTTGTCATACCACACAGCCATAATTTGTTTATTTTTTGTTTATTTTTTTTTAAGTTCCATATTGAGTAAGATAACATTGCAGCAATATACATTTTTTTTCTATATAAATTTTTTTTCTAGGGTTCCATATCTGCTAGTTTGCTTTTGACTGTCTCAGCGTTCAGGTTTGTTGTTGGGAACTTTGTTGCCACAAAATTATACTTGTCATGCTTTAAAGAGCAACTCCAGGTAAAAACTTTCTTAACCCTTGCAGTGGGGCTACCCCAGCACTGCAAGGGTTAAGTGCTCATTTTTGCCTAGGGTCAAACATAACAAAGTTACCCTCCCCTGATATTCTGTGCCGGCTGGATGTGCCTGCTTGCCCTCCTGCCTATCTCCTTCACTGCAGCAATGGTATGTCCCTCGGTGTCCTCATGTCCTATACGCTGTGCTGCAGCGGTGGGAGAGAAAGGCTCCAGGGACTGGTGGTGAGTATAACTTTTTTTTTTATTTTTGACCCTAGTCAAAAAGGAGCACTTAACCCTTGCAGTGAGGGGGTAGCCCCACTGCAAGGGTAATACAAGTGCTTCCCAGAGTTCTTCCTTAATCCTATTTTATGAATGATTAAATGTTAATTCCTTTGTTTTATTACCAAGGATCTCCTACAGTAGAAAAAGAAAAATTATTAGCATAATGAACTAGGCAGTCTGCCATCACCCTAAGATGTAGTCATACTTGGCTGCTAGTGACTTTTCCACACATACGTGCTTGCCTTCACTGGTAGCTATACAAATGTATGTATTTCATCAAGCTGCGACATATGACAAAAGAGCGGGTATTAATAAAAAAGTGTCTCAAGACAAACTTTGTCTCATCTGGAGCGCAGGCAATCAGCCCTCTAAATTTTCAGTTTCTAAGATGTGTGGAAAAAATTTAAGATAGAAGCTGATTAGTTGCAATGGGCAACCTGTACTAGTTGAGATAGAGCTTGTCTCTGACACTTTTGTTACCCCCCCCCCCCCCCGGGTTCTTAAAGGCTAAGTTTACTTTTTTGACCACATTTCATGTTTAACCTATAGTCAGGGTGTAGCATTAAACATGGATGTGACCTTCGCACTTGTAGTCCATTCATTCTTCCTCCCTTCCATATCACTGAACCTTGAATGGGAAGCCGTGTCGGCAGAAGCCAGAGCATTGCAAATGCAGGCTGCAGTGCTTTACTGGGTTTAATGCAAAGAAATAATGAAAGGGACCACCGCGATTAGTGAAGGCCCGAATGGGATGTCTATAGTCAGGGTGTAGCATTAAACATGGATGTGACCTTCGCACTTGTCCATATCCATGAGAAGCTGTCAGTTTATACAGCCGACTAGAGAAGACCTATGCTAACCAAGGCCTCCCTCCTTCTCTGGTTTATTTGTCGTGGTCTTTTTAAGGGGGAATTGTCTATCTGGTAATATACTGGATGGATAAGATGTGGTCAATTCTAATTCATGGTGATTAGTGCAGTTTAAGGGCCTGTTCACATGAGGTTCAGGTCCTGATCTGGTGCAGATCTGCAGACGCGGTGCTATGTGTTTATTTTATTTTTTTGCTGGAGTGGGGCTGTCAGTATGTTAGCTGCAGTGCAATGCGTTTTTGACGCGTTTTGCATTTCAGGACCGTTTCCTGACCGTACAAAATGTAACATGCAGTATTTTTCTGTCGTAACCTGAACGGACTGCGCACGTGAGAACTGTAGCCCATAAAACACATAGGGATACATTGGGATGCATTTTGAGTGCAGGAGCGTACGGATCAGGTCAGCACAGAAAACAGACGTCGTGTGAACAGGCCTTAAGGCTGAGCTGTCTAGCTAGGTTTATAATAACCATCCATATCAGAAACCCCCTTTCTTCCTTCCTGGCCTGTAAGGGGCTGGCATAATGCTGACATCTATTGCTCCAAATAGTTTTACAAACTTGACTGAGTTAAACTCAAGAGAAGTTAACTGGGAAGTATAAACAACTTTTCTGCTTCCCTGAGCACCGTTTCCTGCTTAGTTGTTCCTGGGCTTAGTAGCGTTTAGTTGCGATTATATGCGCTCGCACACACGTTTAACTGCGTAAAATCCGGCAAAACGGTCCCAGGACGCAGAAGATTCCTGCGTGTGTAAACTCATCAAGACCAAATGCACCTCGTTATTGCTTAGTAAAGCATTACATGCTTCCAGATGCATTTAGAAATGATTTCCAAACGCACCTGGACTCATGTATTTTCATTGCAGTGTGCATTAGTCCTTAGCAAGACCAAGCTGATACCGACCATCCCCATTGTTTTTGGAGCCTGCTGCCCACCCTTACCCCTACCAGTGGCAGCAGGGTGTCTAATCTGTACAGGCTGGGCATTTGTAACAAGGGTTTCCACTATAAACAACTACCTCTTTACAGCATATTGATTCCTGAGGGCTTGCTCACACCAATTGCGTTGCGTTCCAGAGAGGGAGCTGCTGGAACGCACTGCAATCGCTCAAAAACGTCCCCCTTTGTTTTGGGGTTGGAGGGGGCCTGGAAGTTCATTTTGCAGTGGAACGGAACGCAAGCAATGTTTTGCCACGCGTCCGTTCGCGATGCAGAGCAGGGGGCGTGGCTGCGCTGCCATTGACTTCAATGTACTTCCATTCCCCCTGACGCCCCAAAACGAAGGGGGCAGTTTTGTGAGCGATTGCGGTGCGTTCCAGCTGCTCCTGATCTTGAACGCACCGCAATTGGTGTGAAAAAGCCCTAAAAAGCAGCGTAACATTTATAAATAAAAGCATCTATCCTGTCAATAAAATGATGCATGTTTAATCTGAGAGCAGACAATGAGGACATTTCAATTCGTTTCCATTTATTTTTCAGTGCAATGTTTTTAATTTGCTTTTATCCAGCCTTCATTTCTACAACACAATGTTGCTGCTTTATGTTTTGTTTCTTTCCTCGCTTTTTCTGTGTATTTAACGGGGTTGTTTATTTTTTGCCAGTAAATCGGACACAGATCTGATCTGTGGACAGAGTACTGCGCCACACAGAAACCATTCATTACATTGGACTGCTGCTATTTGTTGATATGATTAAGAAGGATTTGTTTATTTCTATTGTACTAATTTTCTTTGAAATCCTTGTCATTTTCAAAAGCAAAGTGAAGAGCCCAGCATGATATACAAATAAAAAGGAAGATAAAGCTACCTGCAGTTGTGCATGCGTTTAGAAAAAATCATTACACAAACCCTGAAGTTCCCATTGGGCTTTGGTCTGTGTCTGTATATGTGCTATAAAGAGGCTTGTTCTTCTTCTTTTTTTTTTTCCTTAAAAAAACATCCCAGAAAAACAGTAATCCGTAATTAGCTGAAACATTTCAGTGACTCGAAGGACACTTGATATTGGCTTTTACACATGTTTGCTTACTCATTAGCTCTACACTTCCTAATTACCCTTAAGATGCTCCGAATGGTTGCCTTGCCAGCAAAAATCAATTGTAACAAAAAAAAAAAGCCCAAATTAACTTTTGCTAAGTGGTCTGCCAGGGAAGAGCTGAATGACCAGAAGAGGGCCAAAATGTCTTGCTTTCCAAAGATGGTTGGCGGATGTACTCCTACTTCTAACCTCCTTTAAAGGAGAACTATGGGGTCAGTGTTTTTCCCCATAGTTCTCCTTAGGGTAACGGGAGGACACAAACTAGCGTCCTCCCGTTACCCTAAGCTCAGTATAGCTCAGTATACCGCGAGTCTCCCGATCTACTGAGCCGACCTGTGACAGTCTCATTGTCACAGGTCGGCTAGAACTATGAGGTGAGTGAAAAGCACTCACCTCATAGTTCTCCTTTTAACTGCAACTAAAATGGCTTACACGGACTTAAACGCACAGTGACTTCTACTGTGAAGTTAATATTACTCCTTTTTAACAACATTTCTCTTGTATCTCCTCAGGTTTCCACTATGGCCCAGGCTCCTGCAGGTGATGAATTTCGCCCAGTGGAATTGGGAAAGCAAGAGCCTTCTGCACCTTCTGTCACTCAGGATTCAGGGAGAAAACCAGGACAAGAGCAAAAAGAGCAGCCGCCGAATGCTGACACTGGTCTAGCCAACCAACAGTTTCTCCTGAGAAAGTTCTTTGTTGCCAGGGTAAAAAAAAACGTTCCTATAGTGCACTGAGCAATAGGATGCTTCGAGAAAGAATGGGGAGAATAAGCATTAGATATAACATGTGGCCTGCAAGAATGTACACCATAAAAATGAGGGTATCATTTTGCATCATCTTATATAGTCCTTGTGATTACTTTTGTGACAGAATATGGACACCGGCATTGCAAAAGCAGATATAATACGTCTAATTATTGACGTACATGCAAAAAGGTAGCATAGCACACTTAGTGTGACGTTTCGGGGTCACACAGGATCTCCTTCATCAGGCAGAACAAGTCCGCTCTTTTTCTGCCTGATGAAGGGGATCCTGTGTGACCCCAAAACGTCGCACTAAGTGTGCTATGCTACCTTTTTGCATGTACGTCAATAATTAGACGTATTATATCTGCTTTTGGAGTGCCTATGTCCATATTCTGTTGCATCACTGTGACGGTGGCCATCCGTCGAATACCGAGCACCCATGTTATTCTAATAGATATGCTATTACAATTGTAGCTATGAAGGGTAGAATAGACTATACAAGCTGCAACAAAGGCTAGGTTCATACCTTTCTGCCTGCATTTTCATATGTTCTACTTTTTTTTTGTCTCCCCAATGAAAAGCAAATAATATATAAAGGTTGCCATGCACTTAAACACATGAAAATGGATGTTGCTGTACATGCATTTTTTTGCGATGTCATTGAAGTGAACGGAGCTAAAAAGGCACATGTTCTATTTTTCCCATTCTTTTTGCACACCGTACTAGAATTGACCATATGATTAAAAGTGCTGCAAAAGCCCCCGACAGCGCACTAACAAGCTTGTTTCAAAGTGTAAAGCTCTCTTTGACTGCATGATCAAATAACATTGAAGGGTCCCTGCACAGTCCTGAAACATTGTTTTCCTATGTGATCATGAAGAAGGCTTTGCACTATGAAACACGATTGTCAATCCTCTTGTTATAACAGTGCAGCACTCCATAAATCTATAATGATGACAAGAAAATCTAAAAGTGGAAAGGAAAAAATACAAAGCGTTATGAAAATAAAACACAAAACCATAAAAAAGTGAAAAAATACATTTCAGCCCCTAATTTTTTTTTAATGGTAAATATGTTTCTGTTGACAAAGAGGAATTACCAGTGCCTGATGGCAGAGAATCAACTGTGGTCACTGGTTCTCACAATGTTTGGAAGTGATTGGAATTGAGTGGAAGTCAATTTCGAGTTGAAGTATAAATAAAGGCAAAACTTTTTTTTTTAGATTGGTATGGAGTGATGAGGGGTAAGAATCACTGTCAAGCTTTTTATTGCTCCAAAATTTTGAGTTGCCACCACAATAGGAATAGTGGTGAAATCTTCCAATTAACCCATTAACTTTCAGGTGTGTTTCCAGAGTGTTGGCTAAATAACTATGGCCAGCAGGGATGCATTGAATTTCATTACCTCCCCTTTCAATTACTTCCTGTGCCTTCTTTATGACCACAGAATGTAAATACGTGACACATGGATGTAAATTAAAATGGGTATCTGCACAGTCTCTCCCATCCTATGGAACTCTTTACCCCAACCTGTCCGACTATCTCTCACTCGGACTGCCTTTAGGCGTTCCCTAAAGACTCATCTCTTCAGGGAAGCCTATCCTACCTCAACCTAAGGCCCCGTTCCCACTGCGCGATATGCAAATCGTGCGTTTGTTGCGCGATTTGCATATTGCGCGACATCGCGAGATTTGCCGCGCGATGTCGCGTTCAAGCTTGCATTGAGCAAGCTTGAATCGCGGCTAAATCCGCTCAAAAAAGGGTCCTGCTGTAGCGACACGCGACAGCAGGACCCTTTGCCCCATTGGATTGCATTGGAGCGCGGTAATTTGCCGCGATATCGCGGGAATTACCGTGCGATAAATCGCTCAATGTGAACGGGGTCTTACTGCTCAACCATCACGTTCTCAAACAATTCATCCCCACACAGCTACAACCTCATGTATCACTTCCCCCTCCCTTTTAGATTGTAAGCCCTCAGGGGCAGGGCCCTTCTTACCATCTTGTCTTGAATTGTATTGTGATTGTAATGTCTTCCTTATATTGTAATGCGCTGTACAAACTGTTGGCGCTATATAAATCCTATATAATAATATGCAGTGCATGTATATGGGAGAAGGTGTTGAAGATAAATAGATGAACATTTGAAAGCACAATCTCATTATAATTAACTCTGAATTGTTTAATCATTGCTGGCTTACATTAGAAAGACATGTATTTTGAAATTAAATGAGTGGCCACTAGTTGCTCCCCTAAAGTTTGTCTGTCCAAGGCTAGGACCTAACTGACTAATCTAAAAATACAGTGACAATATTTTAGTAATACCTGTCCACATTTTGACTCTGTACATATCCTGGTCTCTCTGAATGCAGTCTAGCAGTGCTTTCTGGCACTTTCAGCTTCCATGAAATCTCAAGAGACTTTGTTAAATGACTTTGTTTGAATAATGCTTGGCCTATGAGCACATAAAGCCATGCTGCCCTCATTATGCAAATATTTAGCCAGCAGTGAGGGACAACTTGTTCCTGTCTGTCTCATAAGTCATATCCTGCTAGAATAATTATATAGACCATTGCAAAGTGCATTTGTATGTTATATTGAAGCAGCTTGTTACTGAATTTGTTTCCTAACTCAGAGGCCAACAATGCATAAGGCGATCTTTATTTACAATTCCATGACTTTCAGTCACATGATAGTTCTAAAAATACCCAGTGCAAATATCGGATTATTTTTTTTTTAACAGCATTTGTTTGAAATACACTACCTCTAACAATTGAGGAAATATTTTGAACGCTCTTGAAAGTGTTAGTAGTTGCTTTATACTTTATTATGGATTTAAGAATAATTGTTGTTTGATTCGTCCCCTCGCTTTTTTTGTTCTTGCAAATGTGTGACATTTAGGGGTACATATAGAAACGATTTGCAGAGCTATTCGTCCTGGGCAACTCCGTGAGCCTTTTGTTGTGTGAGAACGGAGGAAAAATTAACATTCTTAGTATATTTACTTTTCAAGTTGAAGGTAATAGTAGGAAAACAAACATTGTGGCCACTAGATGGAGCTGTGGAGCATAGGGAATAAGTGTTTATTTTCTTTGCTCCTTCGCACCATCTAGTGGCCACAATGCTGTATTTTTCTGCTATTACATTCTATTAGGAAATAAAATGTACTATAAATATTTGTTTTCCTTCATTCTTAAAGAAAGAGCATTCATGGAATATCGCAGGACATATGGCCCTGTGAATTGTTTATAAGTGCATCCCATCAAAAAAGAGGTTTCAATTAGGGATGCACCGATACTTTTCAGATACCAGTGCCGATACTTGGCATTTTTACGAGAACTAACAGGGTTGCAGCTGGGACTGGGCTCTGGCACTCCACCACTGTCCTGAAATCATTAGTCTGTATTGTTTTAGAAAAACTGTCACATGACAATAAACAAAAATGTATCAGTACTTGTATCTGTGAGCACTTGGACAAGTATCAGTACTTGTACTTGAAAAAATGGTATCGGTGCATCACTTATACACTGAGTGGCAAGATTATTATGACGACCCCATCAGTACTTTGTTGGGCCACGAGATGCCTCCACGAGATGACTTTGTTGGGCCGCCTCGTGACTCCACGAGATGTTGAAAGGTGATGCAAGGAATCTGACACTACACTGTTGCCCTTCTGTTGTCTTGTACCAGTCTTGCCCTCTCCGTTCTGCCCTAACATTGACTAGTCGCTGGCGGCCACAATTCGCACGTTCAGACCCAGATTTCCGGCTGACAGTCCAGTCTTTATACACTTTAACAACAGCTGCTCTTGAACATTTAACGAATTCTGCTGTTTTGCTGATACTCGCTCCATGGCTCCGAGCGCCAACAATCATCCCACGTTCAAAGGCTGTTAAATCGCGTTGTTTACCCATATCTTCAGAAAAAAGGGTCCTTTCTTCTGGGTGACATGGTGACCTCAGAAGAAGGGACCCTGCGTGGCCCGAAACGTTGGGCTGTTTGACGCATGTGACGATTTAATAAAAAGTGCTTTACTTCTTGTACATATCATCAAGTGCTGGTGACTTCTATTATTGATGTGTTAAAACACATTGCCTCATACCTCAGTGCAAGTTATGTTATGCATATGCTAAAACATGTGCCATGGTGTCAACAATGCAGATATTCCATTGCACTCCTAATTGGTATTATTATTATTATACAAGATTTATATAGCGTCAACAGTTTGCACTGCGCATCACAAAATGGAGGGCGACAGTACAGTTACAATACAATTTCAATAAAGGAGAGTTAGGAGGGCACTGCTCATAAGAGCCTACAATCTATTGGGTGGGGCAAGTGATACAAAAGGTAATTTGTGTGGGATGAACTGATGGAAGAAGTAAAAGGATAATTATAATGTCGAGGTGGGATAGGCTTCCCTGGAGAGATGAGTTTTGAAGAATCGCCTAAAGGTGGACAGAGCAGGAGATAAGCAGACAGATTGGGGTAGGGAGTTCCAAAAGATTGGAGAGGCTCTGGAGAAAACCTGGGGGCAAGCATGGGAGGAGGTGACAAGGGAGCTAGAGAGCAGGAGGTCTTGAGAGGACGGTTTGAGTGATATTTTGAGATGAGACTGGGGATGTAGCCATTGGCAGACTGGTGGATGGCTTTGTATGTTATTGTTAGTATTTTGAATATTATTCCTTTTGGCAAGTGGGAGCCAGTGCAGTGATTGGCATGGAGTGGCGGAGGACACCGAACGGTTGGTAAGGTGGATGAGTCTGGCAGCAGCATTCATTATAGACTGAAGGAGGATAGCCTGTATAGCGGTAGGCCAACAAGTAAGGGGGGACACGGAGAGGAGGAAATATATGCTCAGTTTTGGACAGGTTGAGTTGGAGTGGTGTTACATCCATGATGATATGTCAGTGAGTAGATTAGTGGTGTATGAGGAAACAGAAGGGGGGAGCTGAGGAGTGGAGAGATGGATTCGGGTGACGTCACTGTTGGCTCTTGGTGGGTCCTGAAGTGACAAGTGGATGGCGGAGCCAAATTTAACATAGAGAGTAAGTTACCGTCATTCTGAAATCTTCATAAAGACCCCTTATATTGATGTCGATTGTGAAATCACAGGGAAAAATCGTCGTTTTGGGACTACGCAGGGCCCCTTTATCAGGCAATGTGATGATGGTGTGAAGCAACCCTCCAAGCACCATAGCAAAATTTAAAAAATACCATTTAGTAGACACTAAGAGTGCTCACCTGGCTGAGTCCTGTGCTGTCTGTTGTGCTTTTCCTATAGAAATACAGCTATTTGTTTGCAAACTAACCATATAGCATAACCCTAATATACAATTTTGGATGATAATATCCCTGGCTTGGCCATTCTCTGGAAAATGCCTAAAAGAATGCTGATCCACACTTAACCCTGGTAAAACAGGCAGATAGATTTGGGGAAGAAGGATTAGATGACTGCAAAAAAAAGAAAAGAAAATAACGTTAACTATTTTTGTATTTTACATACTAAACGCCATTCACTTTTTCAACATCTTCCTCTTTCAGCCAGGAGCGTTTGATCAGGCGCTTGAAGATTTAACCAATCAGATCTTATCGAAAGAGAAGGAGACTGTTAGCAGTGCGTGGCTACTAGCAGAGTAAGGATAAAACTGTAACAATGTTTGACCATTTTCATTATGTATTTTCCAGCAATAAAGTAAAATGCCGTTGTAGATTAGTGAGCCTCGGGACCGTTCCTCTATGTTGCATCCACATAAAGTGCTCATTTTTGTTTGTTACTGACAATTTATTTGCAGTAAATGGTCTGTCACAGTGAGCATTCTGTGCCAGCTCTGCATTGGCACTCAAATTGTGTTTTCTACTTGTTTCTAGTTAAACATATCCCCAGTAGGTTGCTGCTGAAGAAACAAAATGACAAAAACATTGAGCCACCCTGGATGACACCTTATTTTAGAATAGGCATACGTTTTGTAATTAATGCACTGAGCAGGTGGCAGGGAACAGCTTGTTGAAGGATGCCATGTACAAGATATAGCTACTGTCTAGGGAAGCATTTTAATTTCCTTTTAAAGAGACATGCAGCATCAAATTCTCAGTAAGGATTGATTACTAAATGCAAGTTTTGTAGGGGTCTGCTCAGCGGCTTTTTAATTTTGTGATTGTGATCACGTTCACATTCTGATTTTGTTTTAAGATGATGGGATAAAATTGTCACTGGAACCTGTTGCAAAAGGATTCCATTCTGGAAATGTACATAGCAAGGGTATAGCCAAAGTAGACCGTTCCAATAAACATTTAAGTATACGTCAACCTTCATTTTAAATGGTTGGGAGCTACTTTCCTTTCAATGCACTTAGCAAGTGCACTTAGTCCTCTTCAGAAAGACCAATTTCTCTTTCTTTCTGACCACAATAGGCATGGATGCAGAACCATCCTAGTGTGGTCAGTTTGCATCTCTCCTTCCTACTTGAGAGCAGCATGATGTCATACTGGCGCTTGGCATGCCTGTACTCCCTTAGTCAGGCAGCTGCTGAAATACCACCCGTCCAGCCCTGCATAGTTTGAGGGGCAGTGGCTCGGATATGTGATGTCAGCGGAAGCTGACATCTGTCAAAAGAAGTCTCCACCCCAACCCCTGGAGGCCCGCAGAGACAGTCATGTGACCAGAAAAAAAGGTATTTATAATTATTTTTATTTATAACATGGCCCTCCATAGTACTATCTTACATGGTTTAAACATTTTGACAGCAAAGGGTCCCCAGCAGAAAGCACCTTTTAACACTTATTCACAAGCAAACAAAACAGCACTGTGTACTTCCACTGAATATTAGACTTAATTTGTATCAGGGTCACACTATCATACCCGTCCTGGGCCACCATCCTGCCTGTGTGGGCTTAATCGTATAGATCTCTCATTCACACGCATAGGCAGCTCAGCTCCTGATATTTCGCTTTCTCCCCATTCAGACCTTACAAGTTTCGAATGGAAAGGGGAGGGGTCGTTGCGTGCAGGAATAAATATTCTAATCTGTATAAAAGTCATTTCATAATAAAGCAGAACTCCATGAGAAATTCAAAAGCTTGGGATATCTGTTTGAGATTCCCTTGGATGCCTCACTTCCTTCAGTCTGCAAGGAACAGCAGGACACTGCTGAAGTAATTCCCCTGCTCTTTCTCCCAGCAGGCAAGCTCTCTGCGTTAGATTGATTGCATCATACAATTAAATAGTCTAACTGGCTTACAATGCTTTCCCTCTTACTCAAATCTAGTGTTCAGGGTATTATAGTGAGCAAATTTAAAGGCAAATATCATGTTTATGAACTTGTAGAGTTTCAAGTACTTTGTTTTTCCTGAATACATTATGCCAGCATGCTAGGAATTTACGGTAGCTGGAGGGCTTTACTTCCATTTCAGTACATGATTAGTTGATCTCGTGTCCTTTTCCTTTATGATAGTTGTGTGTCCTAGCTACGAGTCACTGCTGTATCTGAATCACAACTGGCTGGTGCATGAAAGCAGAAAAGGGAAAACAAGGGTCAGGTGTTTGCTCCCTATTCAACATTTTTGCTTTTCTGGAATATTTAGAGACAAATCTTTGCGGAAAAAAATCAATAGGAAGGAAAGTGCTTATCCATACCAACAAATCAGCTTTTAGCTGTCAGTGCCGTCTCTCTTGGCAGAATGTTTATAATAAAGCCTGTTCAAAAAAAATATTAGACCACATCTAAAGGTTGCCATAACACCTAAGATTTTATAGTTCCATGTTGATTTTTTTTGCATGCCTCATTCCTTAAAGGAGAACTATGAGGTGAGTGAAAATCACTCATCCTCATAGTTTGAGCCGACGTGTGACGATGAAGCTGTCACACGTCGGCTCAATAGATAGGGAAGTGAGCAAACGCATATCGTCGCTTGCTCACTTCTCGATCATCTCCCTGCAGAGAGCCATGACTCTCAATCACCACTCCCCGCAGGGATTCCCTCCTTCCCCGCTCCGATCCTCCAGCGCTGACTGGCATAACAAACGGGGGAGGGGGCCGGCACAGCTGGCTTTGCCTCTAGATAGGCAGAGCCAGCTGTCATTCACGCAGCTTGGTGGATCTCGACAGTATTGTTGAGATCCGTCCAGGCAGCGGCTGTCTCAGTACACCTGTAGCTCGTGACATACTGAGCTGTGGGTCACGGGAGGACGCTAGTATATGTCCTCCCGTGACCCTTAAAGCGATATTAAACCCTCCTTTTAAAAAAAAAAAAATATTTACAATAGGGATGCCCACCTTTTGCCTGAGGCTGTTGTTCTTTTAATTCCCCGTTTTCAAGTGGGTCCCTGCAGCGTTCTTTCCCCGCCCTTGTACGATTGGGTGCTTTGTACTGGAATGCAGAGAATGCATTAAGGTAAAAAAAACGCCCAGACCTTAATACTACTTTAAGAGAACTATGGGGAAAAACACTTACCATAGATTTGCTAAGGTGATTAAAAGAGAACTGTGGGGTAAGTATAACATTCACTTGTACTGGCCACAAAGGTATTTTTAAATTGAAGCCAAAACCTTTTTTAGTGGAGAAGGATTAAAACACTTGTCAGGTTTGTATTGCTGTCTGTGTCCCCATTAGGGTGATTCACCCTATTAGTCCTGGTGACCATTATCACTTAAAGTGAAAGAAAACTTCAAATTTTGGGTTATCATAAGAACAGGAATAGATGCTCTGGTGACTCTGCCAACCGTCCGGGATTTCCCTGGGTTTAGAGGGATTGCCTCTGACCCATTTGGGAAATATTCTCAATGGGTCAAAGATGGCACAAAGAAAAAAAATGACAGGAGTTATAACCCCCCCTTTTAATCTATCCAAAACTTAAAAAAAGAGGTTTTGGCTTTAGTTCTACTTTAATATTTTTTTTCCCCCTGATTTGACATAACTTGCTGTCCATTTGCCATAACTGTGCCTCTACAGCCCTAGCTGCTCTATGTGCCACTTCTGTAGTGCAGGTTAGACTATGAAAGCCAGTGATACTCCTAGAGAGAAGCATAGGGTCTTGTCACACAGACCAGTTGAAGGTATAACACATAATACATGTTATTGTGACTGAACTGCTCTGGTTTTTAAAGTCAGCTGCTTCTGTCCTACTTGCATATCTAAATTTGTTTAAAAAAGTAATTTCTGCACGCTGCACCTATTCTGTATTCTCCATACCTAACTGCTCTAGTTTATTAGATGGTTAATGTGTGGCCAGCAGTAATAACATATCATTTCTGTTACTTTTCACAGAAATAATTTGTGTTCTAGCAAAAGCTTCTCGGTATGTTTTTAGTGCTCCGTGCTGATTTAATACTCAAATTTTGTGTGGGTTTCATACATTTTCATGCCTAGTTGAAAACCTACTTGCATCATATTTTTTTTTCCTCTTATTTTCACATTCTCTGGGGCTGTCAGAATCTTTCTAAATGAAGACAGCTATTCACGGAAACTTGTGAGGTTTTACAGTTTTGTTCATAATCCAGATGGGAGATATTTTTTAACAAGGTTTCAAAGTGAATAATCACCATAACGTCAAATTAAAATGTTGGCATGATATTTGCTGGCATAGATTTGCTATATGCTGCCACCTAGAGGATAAGCACTAGAATGCACATACGTGTATGATATTACATGTAAAACTCTAGGCCTCATCTATTCACTCAGCAATCAGCTGTATGCTTTTTTTTTTGGGTCATATTTTAACCAGTGCTAAAGAATAACCCTCAAAAACATTCATTGTTCCTGTAGCAATTTAATACATTGTGAAAAGACAAGTGAAATACAAATAACACAAATGACATTCTTTGAGATACGTGAATAATTTAGTTGGAGTTCAGAAGGTGGAATTAGGGCTAGATAAATAGAATTGCATTATCCCAAATTCCCAAATATTATCGCTGGGCTGTGTGGGCTTTCAGGTGGCTGTGTGGGCAATATGCTAGGGGGATATGCTGGGCGACATGGTGGGCTGTGCGGGTCCTGGTTGGTCTCGGCCAGCAGCGAGCAGGAGGAGATTTGCTGCCGCTGCTGTAAGCAGGCACTGCGATTCAGTTGGACTTCAGCAGCCGTCCTGTGAAGCGAGGTGCCTGTTTACAGCATCGGCTTCAGTTTAGTATCGAGGCATTTTCACGAAGTACTCATGAAAATGCCCAGTATCGGCAACGATATCAATAACTGTACCAGCATCAGTGCATTCCTAGTCTTCACTAAACTATTATACAGGTCTGCCTATACAAAGTAGGTCTAGAGGCACTCGCAGGTCTTGCAGCAGAGATAAGTCAAAGCCTCAGAATTTTATTGTTAATATTTTGATGGTGCTCAGTACATCTTTATCAAGACACAGGCCTACCTAGATACTGTTGTGCTCATAAGTTTACATACCCTGGCAGAATTTATGATTTCCTGGCCATTTACCAGAGAATATGAATGATTACTCATGGGTAGTGGGTCACTCATGGGTAGTGTTTGGCTGAAGCGATTTATTATCAAAACTGTGTTTACTCTTTTCCAATCATAATGACATCAGAAACTACCCAAATGACCCTGATCAAAAGTTTACATACCCTGGTCATTTTGGCCTGATAACATGCACACAGGTTGACACAGAGGGGTGTGAATGGCTATTAAAGGGAACATCCTCACCTGTGTTCTGTTTGCATGTAATCAGTGTGTGTGTATAAAAGGCCAATGAGTTTCTGGCCTCCTGACAGACCCTTGCATGCTTCATCCAGTGCTGCACTGACGTGTCTGGATTCTGAGTCATGGGGAAAGCAAAAGAATTGTCAAAGGACCTGTGGGAAAAGGTAGTTGAACTGTATAGAACAGGAAAGGGATATAAAAAGATATCCAAGGATGTATGTAAATTGTCCACCAGTATCTTTTGATAACGCCGAACACCCCCGCCGCTTCATGAAGGGGTTAAGGTGCCCATACACTGTACGATTCTCATACGAGAATCGCGAGAAACCCTGCGATCATACGAGAATCGTACAGTGTATGGAAGGCGTGCTACCGTTTCTACTGTACGGTCGCACGTCTTCCGTCGAACAAGCAGGCTTGAAAACCCGCCGAGAATCGTACGACCTGGGACAAAGCTCATTTAAAATTATCTGTCACAAAGTGGAAAACTTTTCTCTGGTCAGACAAATCAAAATTTGACATTATTTTAAAAGGCAACCATGGGCCTTTTGGACTAAAGAGGAGAAGGACCTTCTGGCTTATCTGCGCTCAGTACAAAAAGCCTGTATCTTTGATGATATGGGGGTGCATTAGTGAGTATGGAATGGGCAGCTTGCACATCCTGCCTGCAGTCCAGACCTTTCACCAATTGAAAATAATTAGTTCATCTTGAAACAAAAAATACAACAAAGAAGACCCAGGACTGTTGAGCAATTAGAGTCCTATATCGGGCAAGAATGGGACAACATTCTTCTCCCAAAACCCCAGCAACTGGTCTCAGTTCCCTGACGTTTACAGAGTGTTGTTCAAAGAAAAGGGGATTCTGCACCGTGGTAAACATTGCCCTGTCCCAACTTTTTTGATACGTGTTGCTGGCATCAATTTCAAAATTACCTTATTTTCTTGTTAAAATGGTCATTTTATTCAGTTTAAACATTTGATATGTTTCCTATTTTCTATTGTGAATAAAATCTGGGTTTATGAGATTTACAAATCATTGCATTCTGTTTTTATGTAGATTTTACACAGCGTTCCAACTTTTTTGAAATTGGGGACGTATATGGCCAGGGCTTGAAAAATCTGCTCGTCTGTAACGAGAGGATGGTGGAGCCCGACGAGCAGCTTCCCGGCCGGCCGATGTAATTACACGGCCGGCCGGGAGCTTTACAGTCAAGCGATCGAGCGTCTCAAGAGACGCTCAATCACTTGTATCAGCAGCTGTCACTGCCGTTGTGACAGGCACGCCTCTGTGACAGGAGATCAAAGGGAGTTCAGTACACGAACTCCCTTTGATCTCCTCTCAGTCCCCGAATGCAGGAAGTGATGTATATTACATCACTTCCTGCATTCAGTGTCACTCTCCAGCTAGAGAAGCTGATGAAGCCGATCTCTGCTTCATCAGCTTCTCTGGAGGTCCTTGGGTGACATTAGGGGTCTTGGAGACCCCTGATGTCTCCATAAAGAGCACCTGTCATGTAAATTGGCTATCCCATAGGGAGCTTCTTAGCCCCCCATGTAATAGCAATAAACGTGTGTGTAAAAAAAAAAAAAGTAATACAAAAATGAAAGATTCATTAAAAAAAATAAAGAAGCATAACATTTATTTTTTTAAACATTTTTTTTTTAAGTCCCCGCCCCCGACATACACACGCATATATGCGACAGGTGCGCCTACATGCCGCACATGTTGCATATTGCCGCAATCATTTTAGAGCCATTAAGGCCGGGTTCACACCTGGGCATTTTACAGCGCTGATTGACGCGCTGTAAAACGCCCAGCAAATGAAATCCCATTATTTCCTATGGACATGGTTCTCACTTGGGCGTATTTCAGCGTGTCGGAACGAGCTGAAAAACGCCCTACACCCAAAGAAGTACAGGAGCTTCTTTGGGGCGTATTTCGGCGCATATCCATTAGGATACAGCCGGATAGCCCTCGTAAACGCACGTTTGACGTTTTGAGTGCTGCAAATCACGGTTAAAACATGCACCCCAAAACGCGCGTCATACACGCATATTTTGAACGCCTAGGTGGAAACCCAGCCTAAAAAAGAACTATGAGGAGTGCTTTTCACTCACCTCATAGTTCTAGCCGACCTGTGACAATGAGACTGTCACAGGTCGGCTCAGTAGATCGGGAGGTGAGCGAACACATACCGGCGTTCGCTCACATCTCGATCCTGTCACGGCTCTCTGCCGTGACAGGGGAGGAGCTGGATTCCCTCCGCTCCGATCCGCCAGCGCTGACTGGCGGAACGGATGGGGGAGGGGCAGGTACAGCTGGCTCTGCCTCTAGATAGGCAGAGCCAGCTGTCACTCACGCAGCTGGGCGGATCCAGACATAATTGTCGTGATCCGCTTCAGCTGCGGCGTCTCAGTATACCGCGAGCAGCAGCTCCCTATATACTGAGCTTAGGGTGACGGGAGGACGCTAGTTTGTGTCCTCCCGTTACCCTAAGGAGAACTATGGGGAAAATCCCTAACCCCATAGTTCTCCTTTAATCACTGATAACACTAAACTGATGAACAGTAAAAGCGTTTTAATCGTCGCCTATGGGCGTTTTTTTTTTTCCGATTTTTGCTGGCGCACGCAATTTTAATGCTTGACATGTTTGGTGTCTATTTACCCGACGTGACCCCGTCTTTTATGTTTTACTAAACATATGGGTAAGAATAAATGTTTTATAACATAACGTAGGGAAACTTTTTTTGTTTTTTTTCTACATTTATGGTACTTTTTTTTATTATATAGTAAAAAACAAAATACCCCCCTTTTGCAGGACGAATGGCCGTGATTTTATTTTTATAAATATACAGCTTGTATTGTGTTTTTACATAGAGGCAGTTTCTGTAAATATGTGTTATATGTATTGATATAAGTTTTTGATTTTTATTTTCTCTTCTATTGTAGAATTGATCACTGGAACAATGAGAAAGAACGAGTTGTACTAATAGCAGATGATAATCTTTTTATCTGCAAGTATGACTTCATCATGCTATGCTGCCAGCAGATTCACAAAGTTCCTCTCAACTACATAGACCGGATATGTAGTGGCGCTTTCACCTTTCCAGAGAAGTCTCTAGACAAGTAAGAATTTTTTTTTTCTATACATTTAAAGTGTACAGGCTAACTCCAGCCATTTTTAGCTTGTGCCCTTGCAGAGATTTCTCATAACTTCCTGTGCTGACAGGAAGCAAGGGGAAATCTTTCCAATAGGGACAAAGATGGTAATAAAAATCTGACGTAGGCTCTAACCCTTTTCTGTTCTATTCAAGATGAAAAAAGTGGATTGAGTTGGGCTTTAATAGAGCAGATAATTTTACCTTTAGTTGTATGCAATCCACATACAGATTTCAGAAAGCTGCTCACATGTGGGTTGGAGGGTTATTAAAGCTGAACTCCAGGCACACACATTTGAATATATTCAGTAACTGCAAAGGGTATACATCCCCTATATGCAGCAAATACCTTTGCAAACCCAGTTAAGACCTTATAAGTAGCAGTGACTTCATCACTATACTATACATAAACTGTGCAGAGCTGTGGGAGGGACCCAGCAGGCCCCACCTAATACAAGCTGGCTGCAGAAAACTACATGAGTGGGCGGAGACAAGACCGGGCACCCTGCAAAAGAGAGGGAACAGCAGTGATTGGTCTTTATCACAGGTAGCTCCTACCAAGAGGCAATGTTTCACACTGGATTACTGCACGGATCTGGAAGAAATACACCAAAATGTCATTATTAATACACACGCCTGTTGTATCGGACAATATTTGCTTAATCCAAACTTCAGCTTTAGTCCCTATTTACACTTTGCCGTGCATGTGAGCGTGCATCAAAGCGTATGCATTGGCAAGTGTTCACGCAATGCATGAAGCCCTTGCGGTTCCATTACTTGTTAATGGCACCCCAAACGTGGTAAATAAAATACACATCTTTGCCTGCACGTTGACCCACAGCAAATGCACAAAATGCATGGTCAAAAAATGCATGAAGCTTGCAGGTCAAACTGTTTGCTGAGCTTTTTTGCCACGTTTGTTGCTCATGGAGCAGCCCCTTGAAATGAATGGGCTGGCAAATGGGGCAAATTGCGCACAAACATGGAGCATAGGAACAAGCGCCACAAGGGTGAGCGGGGCCTTAGAGGCTGTGCTATGCAATTTCCTTTCTATATCGGCTTGTATCACCCTTGGGCTTCAAACTTCCAGGCAAATTGGAATTGAATTGATAGCTGTAAAGAAATGTTTACTGCGGACCTTTTGACACATCAGGCTTTGTTTGTCTGAGAGAAAACAAGGGTGGTCCGGGAGGTGTGTTGGTAATACTTCTTGGCCCCAATCGACTTCAATGGTGTAGCTCAATGTCGCTCATTACTGGCGTTTTTGCACGACTTTGTAGCGCGATGTTGCGCTACACAAGTGTCACTTTTGCCCAGAAATTACAATCTCCACAGAAGTAGGAAACAGGAAGAGGAATTATGTCACATCAAAGACCGCTTTTGATTGGATACGTCCCAGTGTAGCAGCTACAAAGTCCCTGTGGAAAATGCCAAAAGAACCGCTTCATATCGTAACAAAATGTAGCTCAAAGAAGCTCAATGTAGCTCATTGTCACTCTGCTCAAATTAGCGCTGAAAAAGTGCTTATTTTGTTGTAGCTCAGTGTGAATGGGGTCTTGTGGAGAGTACAATGTAATGCATCTGGACTGGTATTTTTCCTAAACATGTTATGGCCGTGATCATCCTTCACTGAATTGAATTTCTTACTGCCAAGCTATCTGGCTGTAGAGTGCCAAAGCAGGTCTGGGGAAGGATTCAGGAAAACAAGCTCTACCCACTACATCAGGGGTAGCCAAACTCCGGCCCTCCAGCTGTAATGGAACTACAATTCCCATAAGCCTTGTTGAAATTCTCACAGCCACAGGCATGACTCCCGGAGAGAGATGCATCATGGGATTTGTAGTTTCACCACAGCTGGAGGGCTGGAGTTTGGCTACCCCTGCACTACATGGTCTGTAAATGTGATGTTGCTGTTACAAGAGACTGGGGTGTGTCGGTGACTGCACTATTGTATCTCACCGGGGCTTCTGTACATGACCGTTCCCTACTGCTCTGCATGGGCATTTTAGTTGGAGGATTCCGCTTGATGATGGAGTCTCCCACCACCAGGATCTGCCTCTCCTGACCCTCCATCCTGCTCCCGTCCTCGCCGGAGCACTCACTCCCCCTGCGGATATAGGATGAGTCGTGCTCCAGCAGTGATTTCAGATAAAAAGCTTGGGAATCACAGATCACAAATACATTAAAATATAATACTGTGAATAATTATACAATATAATGAATACATTTAACTATACAGGTGTGGTTACAGATCTGCCTTTTAAAATAAATAAAATCTTACTACCAAGTGCTACATTGTGTTATTCCAGCAGAGGTCACTGTAACTCCAAATGTAATGCTGTATGAATAATGTAATACTTCAAGGAAATGATTTGTAAGTAACCCTAAAGACTTTATATTCTAATTTATAACACTGGTGTAGGTGGTTTGGAGCTCTTTCTCTTGTTTTATTTTTTATTTATTACAGGCATTTATATAGCGCAGAAAATTTACGCAGTGCTTTACATAGTGCACATTCACATCAGTCCCTACCCTCAAGGAGCTTACAATCTATTAGAGAACTGTAACAAGCATTTATTAAAATGTGTGTACAACTTTAACAGGACTTCCAGTACTTTGCATATGCATTTTCACCCTTGGACTTTTCCACATTTTATAATGTTACATCCTGGAATTAAATTGACTTAAGTGCGTTTTTTACCATTTGATTTATACAACATATATTAAAGGTATAGTATATTTTTGATTCTGAACATAAAAATTATTCAAGCAAACGTTTGTCGGTTGCCTAATTATTAGCCCCTTTGATAGAACCACCTTTGGTTAAAAGTATAGCTATAGATTGTTTTGTGGCAAGTCTTTACCAGCTTTGCACTTGCAGCAGTTTTGCCCATTCTTGGCTAAATTCTTCTAGCTTCCTCAGACTTCATGGTGACAATTGGCATACTACAAATTTTAAGTCTTGCCTCATATTCTGTTAGACTGAGTTCTGGGCTTTGACTAAATCAGACCTTGGCATTTTACGGCCCCCGAGCCACATCCAGCTCTTTGGCTGTCCCTGTCTGGCCTGCGTGAGGTCAATCGGAATATAGAAATTAAATGTAAATAAGTGTACCGCAGTCTGGACACAAAAGGAGTCCAGATTGCAATTACAAACCTGCGCTCTGTTACGGCTGGCTAACAGTGGATGCGCCGGCTCTGAGGAGTTCAATAGAACTACGGTAGCTTTGTGAAGTGTCCGGTGTATGGTTGCCACATGGATTGCTATTCCTATCGTGTGGATGTCTGCAGCTCCCATAGAGTTACCATGTGGAATATATAAAACGGATTTCTTTTTTTACAACCAAACCTTTATTAGAGCTTCTGCAGAACTTCATTCTGGACTTTTTTTGCTAGCTCTTTGGGCTTCATGATGCCTTCCAGAAACTGGCATATTTATTTTATAATCTTGTGAAAATGTAATGCAAGTAATTAAATCACTTTTAAAGGCAGTTTGTTGCACCAAAGCCTAAATAAGAGTTCATGGGTTTGGTAGGTAAATTGTAATACTATGTAGATATTTTTAACTTCCCACTTTTTGACATTAAAGTGATATTAAAGTCAACATGTTTTTAAGCAAAATCACTTACAATGGATGCAGCTCCTTGATGTTTAGAATGCAAAATCAGTGGGTCCCCGAGAACTGACCCTAATATCCTGTTTTGGGTGACTCCTTTTCCCTACAGGGTCCTTTGGAGCCACCTTTGTGTGTGTTAGTAAGCTGAGTGTGTCTCCACAGAGACAGTAGGGCAAGACACTCCCCTCTCCCTGCTCCCCTGCTTTCTATCTCTTTGCTTCTCCAAGCTAGGGGATGGATGGTTGCCGGAGACTGTGCTCTCTCAATTGAGATCTTGTACTGGGCAGGAAGTTCAGGGAAGCCCAGCTGAAAGAGTTGGAGCTGATTGGAAACTTGATGACTAAGTGCTTGGGCAAAATGTTAACAGATACATTGCTGGGCTCTGTATATTTTCTGATCTGGATTCATTATTTCAAAAAAAGTTGAGGGCTTTAAAGATTATTTTATGTAGATTAGTGACATAACATGCCAATGAAATATGTTTTAGTTCCTGGTGGTAACACTACAAAATGTAGAAAAGTCCAAGGGAGATGAAAACCTAAGAAATGCGCTGTATGGTGTGTTTGGAAAGCTATATTAAAAAAACGGGTTTTAAAGATCTAGAAAGCATTATATTACTATAGGGGTATGTTTGGATTCTATAGTTACAGTGTTAGAGACGACAGTGGCTTATGAAGAACTCTGACTCTTCATATAAACATAAACTATTATGTTTATAAAAAAATATTAACTTACCTAGTGGCCATAAACTGGCCTTTCACCAATCAGTCTTTGTTTCTTATTCTTTTTTATTGTTTTGCACTAAGATAGCTCATTCCTTCTGTCAGTGTCCTCCTTTCTGCATCATGTACCAGCACTGCTCTTATCTCTTTCATTCTTGGTGTTTCTGGCCAGTGGAATGCCATCTTTCTTGATCTGTGTCAAACGCTATCACCATCTGTCTTCAATGCTAAACTGAAATCATTCTTCGTGGATCACTAGGTCATTAGCAGCCTTTCATCCATGACTACACTTGATGTCCGTCCACCTGGGACCTGCACTTTTACCTATTCCCTTAGTTTCTCGGAATTAATATTTTATCTAATTTGTTCCTGGGTTGTTTTCTATCAATACTGTTGGACATCATTCTGTACATAATACTGTTCTTTACTACATATTAATAGCATTACTCTGAATTGCAGGGTCCGCTAATACTAAACACATTTGAAATGGGTATAGCAGGATTCAGTACTGTGGTGAGTGAAATGAGTGTGGTCAATGTATTTATAATACAGTGTAGCCTGGGCTAATGTTCAGGCCAGATTAAAACATTGGTGTCCAAACATTAAGCCGGATTTATTTGTATTGCAATT